AAACATAGCTTCAGACTAATTAGAAAATCATAGTTCCTTATTATAATTGAACATCCATGACCTCCATGAGAGACAAAAGACTATCTTTAATAATATAACCATTAAACACAAAAATAGGCTTATAAAACTCTAGCTGCTAAAGTGAATATACAGGAAATGACCTTCATCTGATTTGCTAGAAGTAAAGTAGAAGAATCAGCTTGTCTATGACCTTGGTTTTTCCCCTCCCCAAACTCAATGGACTATACAGATGTTACCAAGAAAACAAAGAAAGAGAAAATTAAATTTTCCCAAAAATCAATAAAAGAATACTAAGAAAGCAGTAATCAGGTAGCTAAATAACAATATATTCTGGGGAAAAAAAGAGAATGCAATAAATTGATTCCAAGTTGTGCTTTTCAGAAAAGCAAAGAGGAATTATTGAGAAGAAACTTGAGCAATTCATTAAGGGGATATTTCCTACGCCCCCTTTTCCCAACCCATTCCCAGTCTGCCACCACACTTTCTTTTTCTGATTTAAAGTTATTAAACTAAATAAAGTACTATAATATTATAGTAAATAATAAAATATTATAGTAAAGTAAAGTTATTAAGAAAATATGAGACTGAATTACCAGGTTTGGCCATGTGGCTTATAGTCACTTAAAAACTGGCAAGCTGCCATTTTATTTTAGCTACAAAAGCTAAACAAAATAACATCATATGTTCGAGGTGTTGTTTTTAAAAATATCGATTTAAGGGTAAACAGAATTGTGCCAATTAACACATTTCAGTATTCTTTTGATCTTTTATATCATAATTAAACATAATGTTTAAATTTAATTTATTTTACTATATTCTTTAATCTGTTATATAAATATTCCTGATTCAATAGAGCTTCTTCAGTAGGAGAAAACTGCTGCTGTGGTTTTCAACTAAGAGGATAAAAAAAAAATTTAAGGAGAAGGGAACAAATATGTATTAAATACTTCTGTGTACTTCTCTATATACATTATCTCATGAATCGTCACCATATCCCTGAACTTACATTAGTCTCATTTTATAAAAAATAGATACCAGAGAAATTGAATAATTAATTTTCCAAGATCACAAACCTAATAATATCGGTTATGCTGGCTATTAATAATATTTATTGCATTATCTCATTAATCCACAAAACCCTATCAGTTGGGTGCTATTATTATGTTCAGTTTTAAAAATGAGAAAAAAAGATAAGTGAGTTGTCTGGAGTCACACCGCTGGCAAGTGGGTCTGATAAGGTTAACCCACATGGTCCAAACCCAGAGCCTGCCTGCCAGTGCTTGCTCCTTCCCTATGCCACACTGCCTCAAGAGACCATCTAATTCACTCCCGACAAATGAAAATGCTTAGAATACAATTCTACACAGAACTGGTGCTCAGTGAATGTTATCATTAGACTGAATCTTTCTTGCTTTTTCTAAGGACTCATAATACAAAAAGGAGAATGAGTTTGGACTGTGTAATAATTTCCGGTCACTTCCTTTTCAGTTGGATACTCTACTTCCAATGGTGATAGATGGATGTGTCATTGTTCATTGTTGTCCCATTTATTTATCCCAGAAATATTCTATGAGCCCTATGCTATAAGCTTACTGATGAAATAAAACCACAAAGAAGTCAACCATAGTAATAAGTGTTAATCATCTGCTAGCAAATAGTAGCTCACAGGGCCCGGATAATTACCAGAGTGGGCGAGATTTTTTTTTTTAATTGAAATCCAGCTCATCTTTTTATTTATATTTTGCTTGACTTCATGTAGTCCTCACAAGACCTATGTGAGGTTGGTTGCTAAGCCTGCCTTCACAGGTGAGAGTACAATAATTTGTGGAAATCAAGGGGCTTGCTCAAGCTCAAAGAACCTGTTTTCTGACCCCCAAAACCCAGTGGTCTCTCTGGCAATTTCCTCTTAGTTGCAGGAATTCAAAACCTATTGCCAAATCAGAGCCATATACCATCTCCAGTCCTGAGCCTGTTTTCTGACCCAGAATCCATTAACTGAAGAAGAGGCTAGAAAGGACATGGCAACAAACACTATGACAAGCAGACAGATAATGAGACCCTGAACCTTTCCCCCCCAAGAACTACAGCTTCTATTTAGGTAACCGTACACTGGGGAACACAGGATATGTTTTGAGCATTGTTGGACACAGGGTACAAACTGTCATTGTTCACTAGGGACCTGGAGCATTTACATGGTGTCCCCTTAGAGTGGGGTCACATGGGGGCTGGGTAATATATAGGATCATGGCCCAAGTCTGGCTCACAGTGGGCCCCCTGACTCCATGGACCCATCCAACAGTCGTCTCCCTAGTTCCTGATATTTAACTGGAGCACATCTACATGTTAGTTGTATAATTCCCTACATTGTTCCTTGGCCAGTGGAGTAAGAATTACCATAGTGGGGACAGCCAAGTGGAAGCCCTGTAACCCCATCACCACCACCACCTGCAGCCAAAAGGGTACAAGACCAATATCAAACCCTATCTAGGGCCGGATGAGTGGCGCTTTGGTTATGAGTTGGCTTGGGACACCAGCTCTGTGCAGCAGGGCCCCGGTTCAGATCCCACATGAGGGCCAGAAACACTGCCCTCTACAGCTAAGATGGTGAACAAACAGCTCAACCTGGAGCTGGGCTGCCATGATCACCAGTGATGGTGTAGGCTGCAGCCCCTGCTGCAGTGGGCTACCATGAGCTACCGTGAGTGGCTGGCAGCCAGTGTGAGTTGCCAAGAGCCGCTGTGAGTGGCCAGATGGCCAGCGACCCATCTGCCTCACCCGGGAAGAGCGCAATGATAATACCAACATGGGCCAGTGAAGCAACGTCCTCCACAACCAGACTGAAGACCAAAAGGACAGCAACTTGTCTGTTCCCCTTCCCGGATTCCTCAATTAAAAAAAAAAATCCTATCTAATTAATTGAAGATCTTGGGTTCATAGGGGAAGGGGGACATGTTTAGCTATTGAACAGCCAATAACATGATTCAAATCAAAATCAATTTCTCAAGCTGGTAAAGCTCTCTCCATTGCTACAGAAATTTTTTAATTTAGTTATGGAAGTTAGTTAATTTTGTCTTTTTCTTTCTACATATCCTTAGATATTCTTCTGACACAATCAAGTGTATATACATCTTAGACAATGTCGGCTAATTTTTTTCTTTTTAAATATTCATTTTTATCTATGGATAATGCAAATGCTATAGTATCACTCAATTTTTGTCAATTTTTAGGTCATTGACAACTTTGGATATGTACTCACAAAGCCCTTCTCTAGATTAGCCTTTAAACCATGAATAGGCGTAAAACCCCGTGAAATTTTAAACCGTTAGTCCAAAGTTTGGGAAAAATACCCAAATCATATCAATGGCATAATGAATCAATATTCTATGTAAAAACTATAATCCCAAAAGGAATTTTGTTTTAAAAGGAATAATTTGTTTTTTTGTCCTAAAAGAAATAATCCAATGTTCTAAAAGGAAAAACCCCAGGATCGGCTGAGTGGCTCAGTTGGTTAAGAGCTTGCTCAAGAGTCTGAACAACAGTGGTTTGATTCCCAGCCCAAGCTGAGCTGCCACTGAGCTGCCAACAGGTGGCAGGATGGCTCAGCTAAATAAATAAATAAATAAAATAGAAGGAAAAATCCCATTCATGCACAAACACAGATATTTACATTTGTATTTTTATGATTTTAGACAAGAATGCAAAATGATGATCTTAAATTTTATGCAAGAGATTAATATATTTGAAGCTACAGGTTCAAAACTGTATTAAGCACTATAGGGAATATAAAATATCAAACAATTACCTGCTCTCAAAGACCTAAGTGACCTGCTTATTTAGATTAATATCTGAGTAGTATTAAGGTACAGAGTTAATTTTGAAATAAACTTTAAGAGCTCTAAAAGCACTAAACATAATTACAAAAATGTAAAAGAGTCAGGACGTGGTGTCAGACTGAGGGGATCCAACCCCAGGTCTCCTAGCTAGGCGGCTTTAGTTACTGATTTCACTTCCCTGAGTTTCACTTTCCCTCTCCTTAGAATAGGTTCTTGTGAAGATTAAATGAGATCAGATAAAGCACTTAGCAGAAAGCCTGCCACATAGTAAGTACTCAGTGAATATTAGCTGCTGGTTTTTTTCTATTATTTGTTATTGGGGAAATAGTCTCAAGTAAAAGAGAGGAATATTGGTAGTCAACAAATTAGATTGTTTCAGACACTAAGGAAAAACGTTGAAAGCTGGAATCATCTTTTTCATATTCCCTACAGGCAGCTCTTGGAATACTGAGTTTGGAGACATTTAACACTGAATACAATTAGTATAGTACATCACAAAAGCATCCTCCCACCCCCTACCCCCAAAAAACAAAACTGTTAATGCTCTCAGGCCCCAAGCCCTCTACTTTTCCTCTCCTGTAACCAAGATCATCATCAATCATCCCCAACCACTCAGCTTTCTTCATTCATGCCTTATCTTTTAAAAATAATAATAATAATGTGCTTTACAATCCACTTTTTATTTCCGGCTGGACTTTGTGATCAGGGCCTGGTGACAGATGGCATGGAACAGCAGGATATTTAGAACACCAAAAGCTCAATACAGCCCTGCTTAACCGCCCAATATAAAAGAGACCTCTTCCTAAGTCAGTGAGAAGTGACAGATGTCAGTCACATGTAAGTGTCATGCTCTCTCCCCTCTTTTTTTCTTTTTGTGCTTTAGAGACAAGAGCTGAAATAAAAAACCTTCCTGCGCCTTGCAAGAAAACATAATGTGCATTGTTAAAACACCATCATCCTTTCAAATATTTTGATTCACTGGTGGACATTTTCCTAGAGCAACAACTTTTGGTGAAATGGCTGTTGGAAGTAAGTTATTACTGAGCATTTCCACTCCTTAGATTAACTGAATAATAAATCTAACATTGGTAAAATGATGATTAACTCCTGAAGCTTAGAAAAGTTATAGTTGACCCAGTGTCTTACCTACAACAATGCCATAGGAAAAGAACAGGAAGTAGATGTTAGGGGCAAAACCGCTCAACATTAGGCCGCCAGCCACCATGAAACCGCTGAAGATGGTCACAGGCCTTGCTCCAAAAGATGAGACACAGAGACTGCAGATAGGACCTATAAAATAACAAATGAAACATTCACTTATTTAACAGTAGTCTCCTTTACACAATCATATTACCCATCCCATCATAAATTCAAAATGATTCTTCCCATCATAAAATAACAACAATAATAATAAACATCTACTGTGTATTTACTATGTGGAGGACACTATACGGGTACTTAACATAAACAATCTCATTTCGTTTTCATCTTACTACAGCCCTGGGAGGTAGAAACTAGTGTTATCCTCATATTTTTTTTGATAAGGAAATTATAATTTCAAGACGGTAAGTTCGCATAGTTAAGAAATGGGGATTCTAGAGTCAGACTTGCTTCAAATTCGAGCTCTACTATTTGCTGGCTGTTTGATCTCAACAACTTATTCGATCTCTCTGTGCCTCAGTTTCTTCATCTGCAAATTACATTACTAACAGTAGCCCCCTCCCGTTGTTATTGTGAGAACAAATGAGAGCATGGATTCAAAGCGGATCACAAGGCTGGCCCGAGTAAGCGCCCAATTAATGCTCGTTCTTTAGTGATGGGCGTGGCAGCAGCAGCCGCCACCAAAGCAGGAACAGAGGAGGAAATAAAAACCCAGGCTGACTCCTGAGCCCACTGTCTTAACCCTCACACTATTCTGAGGATTTTTGTCCCATGCACCTTTCCTATCCAGGGCTCCTTCCCTGCACAAGGCAAGTCGTACAATTATGATGAAAATAGATGTGTTGACTGACTGAATACAACCAATAGCAATCCTGTGGAGGGGTGAGGTTAGGGAAAGGTGGTTACTTCCTTCCTAGAGAATATTCTGGCAGGTGGGGCCAAATGGAGGAGCACACGACCCATCCAGGCATGAGTCTGTCAGTACCACTGTCCTCATTCTATGTGTAACTTGGAGTTTGGGGAGAAAGCATGCTGTTGACTGACAGGCAAAAGTGACCATTACCTGGACCTGTTCTATGCATACATGGCCAACTTCTCATGTAATAGAATTTAAGTGCTAGTGAAATCCTTCCCCTCTAGCACTGTACCTGGGAAGCACCTACAACTACAGAGCTTAGCATATTAGGAAATAAAAGGAGATTAAGGGTTATTCAGCCCAATAGTCTCATTTACATGGAAGGAAACAGAAGCTCAGAGAGATTCTCCAAGCCCATGGTACAAGAAAGAGCTCAGGGTTTGGAAGCAAAGAGAAGTATACCTTAACTGAGTTGACTACAACCTTTCAACAATAATGTACAAATTATTATCTCCAGTTTTTAAAAAGCACACTCACCAGATGGCTAATGACAGACAACAGTGTTAGCAAGGAAGTGAAGCAACCGAAACTCTTATAAACTGCTGGCATTATCTCCTAAAGCTGAACACAGCACACTGTATAACCAAGCAGCTCCACTTCTATATATACACCGAATAGAAACCAATAGATACACCCAACAGAAATACCTACATCCAAACTTACAATAAATAAATGCTCATAGCAGGACTTTTCATAGCAGCCAAAACCTAAAAACCCAGATGTTCATCAGCGGTAGAGTGGATAGGTCCATTCTGGTATATTCATACAACAGACTATTACATGGCAGTGAGAATGAATGACCTACAATTACATAGAGCAATACAAATGTATCTCACAAACATATGTGGCGTGAAGGACGCCCAACACAAAAAAGTACACATTGTGTAATTCCAATTACAAAAAGTACCAAAAGAAGGGCAAAGCTAATCAACGATTAGGAGTCAGAATAGAGGTTATCTTTCATAGGGGGTAGGGAATTATAATGAGAAGGGAGGACAGCCCAACTTCCAGGGTACTGCTAATGTTCTGTTTCTTGATGTAAATGTGTTCATTTACATGCATGTGTGTAGCTTGTGAAAAATTAATCGGGCTATACTCTCATACACATATACTTTTCTGTGTATATCTTTTACTTCAATAAAAAATGTTTTAAGAAACCTCAAATGGAAATGATGTAATCTGTCCATAATCTCATTGTTAGTATGTGGGAGAGCCAGGATCTAATGACTCCAAGCCCAACATTCTTGCCAGTTATAGTAGTCCCCCGTTATCTGCAGTTACTGTTGGTCAGCTGTGGTCTGAAAATATTAAATGGAAAATTCCAGAAAGAAATAATTTATAAGTTTTAAATTGTACACTGTTCTGAATAGCATAATGAAATATCTCACCATCCCACTTTGTCCCACCTGGAACGTGAATCAACCCTTTGTCCCATATATCCACGCTGTAGATGCTATCCACCCATTAGTCACTTAGTAGCCATCTTGGTTATCAGACTGACTATCTCAGTATCATGGTGCTTGTGTTCAAGTAACCCTTATTTTACTTAATAATGGCCCCAAAGCCATTCACATAACTTTTATTACAGTATGTTGTTATAATTGCTCTACTATATTATTAGTTATTGTTGTTAATCTTTTACTATGCCTAATTTATAAATTAAACTTTATCACAGGTATGTATGTATAGAAAACAACACAGTATATATAAGGTTCAGTATTATCCATGGTTTCAGGCATCCAATGGGAATCTTTGAATGGATCCCCTGCAGATAAGGGAACTACTGTACCAGAGACTCTCTTGAGCGCATATTTAAGGACAGGTTCTAACCACTGAGAAAACACATAGGTCTCAATGCCTGTGGCTGTCCCACACCTCTCTCTGGTCTCATGACCCCTGTCATTTCAGGTCCCTGTACTGTGAGGCAGCACAGAAGAGCAGGCTGATGTATTTATATGACAGAGGAAAGTATTCTGTGCCAGTATTTTAAAAGGAAACTCCATTTGAAATACTAAACTTATGAAAACTCTAACTGAAAAAGTGTTTTGTTATGAATTAGAAAATGAGAAGAATGAGTCATTTTAAGGAAGTCAGAAAGATCTATAAGTAAGTGAGGAAATTGTCTCCTTTAGCCCTTCAGGGTAATTTGGGAAGCAACAACAGAGTTAAATTTTTACTGGCTGTTAAAAAAAAAATAGCATGGAGGAAGAATACACTCCTTAAAATTGAAAAGTATGTTAGTAACGTTAAATTTAGGTCTGCATTAATCAAACAAAATGTAAATATTTGATCATTGATATTTCTTCAGTGTTTACTAAGCATCCACTAGAGCAGCACTACACAATAGAAAATAGAAGGAGTCACACATATAAGCCACATAAGGGATTTTAAACTCCCTAGTAGCTACATTAGAAAAATAAAAAGCGACAAAATTAATTTTAATAATAAATTTTATCTAACATATTATATCAACATTATCATTTGAACATTTCAATATCATTAATGAGGTATTTTACATACTTTTGTTTTGAAATCCAGCGTGTATTTGTTACACTTACAGCACATCTCAACTTGAACTAGCCATATTTCATAATTGCAAAGCGGCTAGTGTCTACTGTATGGGACCACACAGCAGTAGTGATATAACATGATAGAAGGGGACACGGAGAAGAATATACACAATCCAGGACTTAGGCCAGAAGGCAAAACCAACACATATCAAAACCTAAGGCCGTAGGCAATAAGCACCAAAAGAAAGATCCTGTTTTGAGATTTCAGAAAGAAGGGATCACCTTGGTCCAAGCAACTCAGCCTCGGACTGGGTCGTGAAGTATGGCTGTGTTGAGAAAAGGGATGAAAATACAGTCTACGTGGAGGGAACAGAACCATAATATGGTTTTCCAATCTGTAATTATTAATAAGATCGCTTTGGGAAAGAAATTATTCTTTTCTGGAAATAAATTAACTTCCATGCCCTTTCTCTGTCTCAAAAAGTTTCACCGAGTTCTAAAAGTTGTAGGATGGCCAGGCTTGCTGCAGAAACTGTAAGTAGGCTGATGGTATCGTAAGGAATACAATATAGCAATCGCCAGGTTGTGTGCCGACAGAGGAAGAAGGGTTTCCTAGTAGAGTAGACTGGGCCCCGGAGAGTCCTGCCCCTTTCCCTCTAATGCTGGGAGCCCAACGAAAGAGCAGGTTACCTACTCCTTCCTCCTGCTGAGGCCACAAATTTTAAGTTCATCAGCTCCCTGAGGGGGGAAAAAAAAAAGGCACTAAGGAGCCACACCCACTCAAATCCTTGCTCTCATGTATAGTATTGACTGCCTTGCCTGTTGGTTGGTTTGGCGGCTTTACATAGAGAAGGCAGAAAGCTTAACCAAAACCTCCCATTCTTCTCACCAATCCTGGAACTGCCAAACACCCTGGGAACTGGCTGATGTAACAGAATCCTTGTAGGAGGCAGAAATTCAGCGTTGATTAAGAGTTAACAGTGCTGAGGGGCAAAATCATACAGATATTCCAAACCCTGCCCTGCCAGCACTCACAACTCATTGGGCAAGCCTGACTCGCTAGATTAACTTGGGGATAGATTTACTGACTCATTGGCAGTTTGAGGGCACTTTGGAGAAACAAAAGATCTCCCTGCTGTTTCAGCAACTCTGTAGTCTGCAAAATGGCCCCACCCTTCTTGAACTTGAAGAGTGACATCTAACCAAAGAGTACTCAAGCTCATTTTAAAATAATGCAAGGTCATGGTAGCTTTCTAGTTCAGTTACCTTTCATTTCTCCTGTATCATTCAGGGTTCAGTGAGAAAAACAGAACCAGAAGAAGACCTACTATTAAGAGGTACTGGCTTGTGTGATTGTGGGGTCTGGCTAGGCCAAGTACAGGCCGTCAGGAAAGGGAGGTCAGTACCCCCTGGCATAGGCTGAAGTGACAGCCCACAGTCAGAATTTCTTCTTTTAGAAAAGCTCATTTCTGTTCTTAACGCCTTTCAACAGATTGAATTAGGTCCACCCAGATTTTCTTAAAGTTGACTAATTATGGACTTCGAGCACACCTGTAAAATACCTTCACAGCAACACCTACGTTAATGTTTGAGTAACTGGAGAATGACCATCCCACCTCCCAACACAGTCCCTCCTCCTCCAGACAAATTTGCTCTACCAGAACGTGTCACCCTCCAGGACTGTGCAGACAAGGAATCTGCATGGACTGCCCTCTCCCTGACCATCCGTGTTACCTGGCCCATCCTCCCATCTGGCCCACCTCACAGCCTGTCTCTGTAATACTCCAGAGATTGCCTTGTCCTTGCCATCTCCTTGGTATTTGTGATGTCTCAAACGATCAGTAACCCTTTTTGCTGTCTCTTCCCTAAGACTACAAGCCCCTTAGAAGCACGAATGATGTCTTCTATCTTGGCCTCTGTAGGACAGAGGAGGCTCTATGGAGGGATTTAATGATGGTGAGCTCATTTGCAATGTATAACCCACAGAGGAAGGATGCTTGATACTCAGCTTATTAATCCTGAGGATCACCTGCACAAATAATTCAGGCACAAGAAGACATATTTTTTTTATCCTCAATCACTTAAGCTCCAAAGAGAAGGAATTAAGATTATGAGGTGTAAAATTATGAACTGCTGTCTTTTCATAGTTCTGGTATGCTCCTCTGAGCTACTGTCCAAATCTAGGTTTGCCAGAGACAAGGGGAGGGTCTTCAAATCACAGATGCTTAGACTAATCTTGGCAGAGTCCCGGCTTTCCCTCCTGCCCACCCCCCTAGAAACGCCTTTGTCTTTCATCCTGAAGGGCCCCTTTCTTTTGTAGATTCTACAGTTTGTTTGGAACTGCTTGGGAGAGGAATTTTATTTGTGGGTGATTCTGGTTCTCTAATAATTGATATTTTTTCAGCACTTACCATATGTCAAGCACCATCTCAATTATTTTATACAACATTCATCTAAGGGAGGTACTTTTATGATCTCCAATTTAAAGATGAAGAAACAGGCTTAACAGGTTAGAAAAACAGGGACTCGGGTGTCACTTTCTCTTAGACAATGTGCTTCAGACTGGGTACTGTCACCAAACCTGAGGACAATAACGTCTACCTCAGGGCATTGTTATGAGGAGCAACTAAGATCACGTAAGTGAAAGTGGCTGGTATTGAGCTAAGCACACCAGGAGTGCTTAGTGAACTTAAGGGATACATACATGAAAAAACAGAATTTGTATGCTGCCTGGCAATGGTACTTATTCTGCTGTGCCTTGCTCAATTATAAAGTTCCAGTGGTTAGATCAGAGGACAGGTCTATATATATATATATATATATATATATATATATATATATATATATATATATTTAACAAGGAGACTTACATTTTCATTTTACACTGGGGCCTGCAAATTATGTAGCCTATCCTACCTATAAGTAAAGGGAGCTGCTTCTGGCTCTTGCTCCAGCGTGAACTTGGAGAAAGTGTAGAGCTTTCCAGAGTCTCAGCTTCAGCTCTGACCACCAATGCCCCATCCACCTGTAAGATTTCAGCTTCCCTGAACCCTCAACTTCTACCTGGACAGACTTTGTGGAAAAAAAGCTTTGTTCTCTGAATATGTGCTAACTGAGACCCTTTCAAACAAATCTTGGGCAAACTTGACACTATTATTTTCTTTTCTTTTTTTTTTAAAGATTTTTATTGGGGAATTGGGGGATGGGAACAGTGCTGGGGAATTGGGGGAAGGGGAACAGACAAGTTGCTGTCGTTTTGTTCTTCAGTCTAGTTGTGGAGGACGTTGCTTCACTGGCCCAAGTTAGCACCATCATTGCGCTCTTCCCAGGTGAGGAAGATCAGTCGCCGGCTTCTGGATGGCCACTCACGCTGGCTGCTGGCCGCTCACGCTGGCTGCTGGCCACACATGGTAGCCCATGGCAACCCACTGCCACAGGGGCTGCAGCCTACACCGTCGCCGGCGACTCATGGCAGCCCAGCTCCAGGTTGAGCTGTTGTTCAGCATCTTAGCTGTGGAGGGCAGTGTCACTGGCCCTCATATGTGGGATCCCAACCGGGGCCCTCTGGCGTCCCAAGCCAGCTCTTAACCAACGCGCCACTCGGCCGGCCTTTCACAGTATTATTTTCATGTGTTTGGTTATGTTAGTTATCTGACATGGCCAGATAATCCAGCATTGTTTTTCAAGTTTTGGGGTGTTGTTTTTTATTAAGTTACATGAATGTATATATATATTTTTACTTTATTTAATTTAATTTAATGTATGTATGTATTTATTTATTTATTTATTTATTTGTAGCTGAGCCATCCTGCAGCTGGGGCTGGACATCGAACCGCTGTTGCTCTGCGCTCGCACTCTTGAGCAAGCTCTTAACCAACTGAGCCACTCGGCTGGCCCTACTTTATTTTTAATTATAGTTGCTATACAATATTATATTAGTTTCAAGTGATTCAACATTTATATAACTTACAAAGTGACCACTACAATAAATCTAGTACCCATCTGTTACTGTACATAGTTATTAGGATCAAGTCTTGGTTTTAATTTAATAAGGTATTAATACATCAGTTGGAAGCAACTGTTTTTGCTTTGTTTCGTCTTAAGAAGTCCCTTTTAGTATTCAAGGAAGACAACATATTTAAAAGAAGGAATGGCTAATGCATTTTGTTTTCATGAAATCATTTTAGAGATGAAAAATACCTTACAAATTACCACATTCAATGTCCTTAGTTTCCCCATAAGAACAGAGATTGTGATTTGCTCAACAAACCATGTCAAGTTCATAGCACACAGGAAGAGACTCCAGGGCTTACTGACCCCATCTAGGACACCATTTTAGCACATTCATGCTTAAATACTTCCAAGTAAGTTAGACTGATAATTACCAAATATTATTGGAGAGTTCAAACTATTATTCTAGAAATTGAAGTGTCAAGTGATTTTAATCCTTAAAAGGAAAATAAAAGCCCCTCTACTGTTCCCTGTAAAGATGGAAGGAATCACTACTGAGCCTATTAAGGCCAGAAACAGTCAGTGTGTTTCCTGTTCATCTTTTCACATTCAGCATGCAGCACACTGCCTGGCACATAGCAGCAAGTAAATGAATAAAGAAATAAATGAGTAGGGCCGACCGAGTGGTGCGATGGTTAAGAGCTGGCTTGGGATGCCAGAGGGCCCCGGTTGGGATCCCACATATGAGGGCCAGTGACACTGCCCTCTACAGCTAAGATGCTGAACAACAGCTCAACCTGGAGCTGGGCTGCCTTGAGTCGCCGGCGACGGTGTAGGCTGCAGCCCCTGTGGCAGTGGGTTGCCATGGGCTACCGTATGTAGCCAGCAGCCAGCGTGAGCGGCCAGCAGCCAGCGTGAGTGGCCATCCAGAAGCCGGCGACTGATCTGCCTCACCTGGGAAGAGCACAATGATGGTGCCAACTTGGGCCAGTGAAGCAACGTCCTCCACAACTAGACTAAAGACCAAAACGACAGCAACTTGTCTGTTTCCCTTCCCTAATTCCCCAGCACTGTTCCCATCCCCCCAATCCCCCAGTAAAAATCTTAAACAGAGAAAGAAAGAAAGAAAGAAATGAGTAAATGACTGAATATCTTATGGAATTCCTGTATTTTCAAACAGATTTATTACAGTGAAAGAGTGGTTGTATCATCTCAATGAAGTCCGGAAAACATGAGTCATACTTTAAAAACAAATAGCCTCTTACGTCTTGCACGGTGTTAATGACACAACAAATATAATGAGATGATTAATGAGTGAGAGTAAGGAGAAGCATAAATGTATCGACTTACTTGCAAGCAAGCCTACTCCACTTGCGAGGGATCCAATCCACGCTGTTTTCCCTTTTCCTTCACCAAAGGCGTCCAGCCATTCTATGTACAAGACTCCCACGGCTATCGGGGATCCGTAACACAGAAACTGGGTGAAGAAGGAGACAAACACAATCACCCAGCCCCATCCACCGTCAGGTGACTTTTTAATTTCCATTGTCAGACGAAATCAAGAAGGGTACTCGCTGTAGGTCCTAAACAAAAACAGACAGAAAAGAAAAGCATTTTAGAGTGTGGTGGGACACAGTATTTTGGGTTACAAATATCTTGCTAAATTAAAACAGAAAAGTGGTTCTCGAAAAATACATGTGGAAAAGCATAAAATATCGCTGACATATCCAGTTAACTTTAGATTTTTTTATGTATGATTCAAATAAGTAAGACAGCCACATGGCTCAAAAAAAAATACTTCTGATTTTAAAAAGGCAATCCTGTCCTCACTGACCACATTCCCCACCCTTACCCAGCCACTGGAAATCACTGTTTTTGGTTTCTGGTCACATGCTGGGTTCCCCAGGAAGTACCCCGGGTTTACTAGGAGTGCTTTCTTCCTATGAAAGGGAGTAGACAGCAGAGGGAGAAGGTAAGCTGCCGTGTGGTGTGGACAAAGGGGGTTTCTAAAGCTGGGATGACCCTTCAGAGTAGCCAGGAATTGGGCATGGGGAGCTGGCCCTTCACATCCCCATGTTGATCATGCAATTGATTAGAACCACCCAGGAAAGGGGCACGACCTTAAGTGAGGTGTCTCTCTTCAGAAGAGGCAATCAATCCCCACGGGGCTGTGAGCTGAAGGCCACCGGCCAGCAGCCCTCTCAGTGGCTGGGCAAGGAATCTGTCATTTCCTCTAACATTTTACACAAAAAATAGAATGTTATATCCATTTGTGTCTTGCTTTATTTCACTTGACAAATATTTTGAAGATCCTTCACATCAGTACAGAGTGACCTTCCGTATTCTTTTCTTTCTGCTGCATTGTTTTCCCACATAGGGCATTCACTGAACTCTTTAAACCAGTCCCCTAGGGCTGACAATGAAAAACAGTGCTGCCATGAATAACCTTATGTAAACATATCTCTTTTTGCATATATGCATATCTGTTAGGTAAAACCCAAAAGCAGAATTGCTGAGTCAAAGGGTATGTATATTTGTAATTGTAATTAGTATTACCAAATTGGTTTCAAGGGATGGAATCAATGTATATCATCCCCAGCAACTTTGGGTGTGTTGTGAAAACTCTGGACGTTTGTCAGTTTGTTGGATTTAAAACAGTATTTCATTATAGTTTTAATGTGCATTTCTCAGCATTCTTTGAATGTTGTATGCCATTTCATAAGTGAAAAGGCATTTATAATGCCTATTTAATTCTTGCGTATATATGGGTGTATTTCTGGATTTTCTGTTCTGTTCCATTGATCAGTTTATTCATTCACCATTACCACATTAGTTTAATTATGAAGTCTTTTTTTAGGTCTTTTCAATATATTTTAAGTTCTATTGAGGCTAAGTTCCTTCCCTATCTCTCCATCATTGCATATATTTTCAGTATTTTCTTGACTCTTCTTATTTATTTACTTTTTATATGAAGTTCAGAACCAGTTTGTCTGGTTCCAAAATAGATCTGATGGTATTTTCATGAGGGTTTAATTAAATTGATACATTGATTTAAGGACAATTACTATAATACTTTTATGATGCTGAGTTTTTCTATCTAAGATCATGGTATTCCTTTCCATTTGTTCAAGTCTACTTTTGTGTTCTTAGTGCTTAAAGCTTTCCCTTACGTTTCCTTTTCTTTTTCTTTTTTTAGATATTTCACTATTTTCGTTAACATTATAATTGGGGTTATTTCTTTGATTTGTCTATTGATGTCTGTATGTTAATTTTGAATCCCACTACCTTACTAAATTCTCTTGTTTGAAGTAGATCTTTGGATGATTCTCTTGGGTATATACAACATACAGTACAATATAGTTAAATAATCATCTAAAAACCATCTCCTTATTTTCAACTTGTGTACTCCTAATTTCTTTCTTTTGTCTTTGCATTGAATAGAAAACTCAAAATAATGTTAAATAATAAGAGTGTACATCTTTGTCTAGTTCCTAACTTTAGTGGGAATGCCTTCAAATGTCATGGTGCTGCCTCTGAGGCTTAGATTTATTTCACAAATTTAAGAGAGCATTCATATTTTTTTATTTTTGAGTGTTATTATAAGGAATGTGTACAGCACTTTATTAAATGTAATCCCAGTGCATAGAAAGATAATTATGATTTTCTTCTTATAACTTTTAACATAATAAATTCTGCATTTTCTACTATTAAACCATTCTTGAATTATTGGATTAAATCTTCCTTGGTTAATGCACTATTTTGATTATGTCAATCTATTTTGAGCAGTGTTAAATTTATAAATGAGATTGGTCTATATTTGGTTTTTAATTTTTACTAGTGTTTGGTATCAAAATGATATTTAAAAAAATTTTTTTAAATGTTCCTTCTTTTTCTAAATTCTGAAACAGTGGATATGACAGTGGATTTGGAGGCCCAAGGCCTAACCTCTCTGCCCACAAGGGCCTCCCACTTAATCTATACCTCCTGTGTCTCTTCACCATGCCAGGTTTATAGTCAGGTTCAACAGAGTCTTCTTTGCCCAAAGATTTTGCCAAGCCATTCCCTTGGCTGTGGTTTCATCAGATAATAGGTAAAAACAATAACAATATCATTCATCTATTCATACACGTCCCTAATTCTATGGTGAGGCATTTGGCTACCTTAACAGAGTCATAGTTACACCCATCAATTTACTTAAGCTTCTGTAGTAAATATCTTCACTTTGACATTCAGATCACTGGGCAAAAATCATGTCACCACCTGCCACAGGCCTTTGTATAAATTAATAACTTGAATTTTTAATAGCTGAATATTTAATATTTAGTTATTAAATATCTAATAACTAAAAACTGAAAGATGTTACAAAACTGTAGAATCTAAAAATCCCATCTCTCAAACCACACAACTATTCCAAACTTCCAAATATCAAAATCTTTTGAAATAATAAAAAATGTCCCTTCATCAGAAGTTTACTCCCTCCAATACTAACTTTACTGTAAAAATAAAGAATTAATTCTGGTCCTTCTCATGACAATTCAGATCTTTGCAATTCTTATTTAGAATGCCTTCTAAAGAAAATATAGTCTTAAATCCCTAAACTAGATAATAAATGACAGCAATAGCCAAACATCTAGTAAAATTAAAAGGTTGTGTAAAAAAAAAAATGCATGTGAGATTGTCCTTCATTTAAATCTTCAAGTTACAGCACTTTAGGAAAAGTACATATTTATATAAGCAAAGCACAAGAATCATGAATAAAGCCAGTATTTTCGGGGGTTGGGGGGAGAGTAAAGAGAAAGGATGAGAAGGAGTATCTTTCTTTCTAGTTTTCAGACCTAAGTAAACAGAAATGCCTTTATACACCAACTACCTTTTCCTTGCCTTGCCTTGGGTGACATTTCAACACAGGACAGGAGCCAGAGAAATTCTTCTCACAGTAAATATTTGGGCGAGCAAACCTTAGAAATACAAAGCTCCCATGTGTATCAACTCTTGACTAGAAAGACGAGTTTCTATAAAAAAGTTGGCTAACAGCTTCTGACCTTTAATTGTTTCATAGTTTGAGATACATATAGTCACAACAGAACCTGGTGGAAAATACCATTTAGTGATTCCTTGTTTTCTGTCAGGGTGACTAATACCTTTCTCCTGTAATTTTCTTTATTCATTTGATATCTCTCACCTGCTATTTCTTTGATAGCCTATGTTCTATAAAGTGATTTTACAAATAAACTAGTTTTCATTTCCTCCTTTTTGTAATGGTGCCCCATTTCCCTTGGGAGATTTGGGGTTTTCCTCATGGGTAGACAGCTGATGGGACTGTTAATCAAGGTTCCTTGATCTTGACTTGTAGAGAGCAGTACCTGACCCAAGCAAGTCCTGTAGGATATCTCTCCTAGGACCCTGAATCTTGAGTGAAATGCTATGAGATATATATTAATACATATTTTAATATTAATATATTAATAATATATATGTGTGTATATATGTGTGTGTATATATGTGTGTGTATATATGTGTGTGTATATATATATATATATATATATATATATATATATATACATATGGAGTTTATTGATCCCAATAGTAGTACATTGAGGAGACCCTCTGTCAGTTTCTCATACATTGACTCCCTTGGGATATCCAAGCCTAGCTTCTCCAGTCTTCCATTCCATTCTATGAGCTAACTCTGTAAATTATTTTGTAAAGGTAGCTGGTATTCCTTTATTTTATGTGCAACAGAGTAAGCAAATTTTGAGTGTGCAGTAATTTCAAGTTGATTATTTTACCCATCCATATCCCACTTGATCCCCTTTGGACCAAAGTTTAAGCTTAAGACTGTAGTCTACGACCATAAAAAATGGGAAATATAAGTATGCCATATCTTTGTTTTGCCCCAAATTTTTATTTTACTAGCCTTCTTTCTTCAAATGTTATGATCCAATATGATAAAATATCTTCTCTGGCATTCTTTTAAATAAAAACTAAATTAAAATTTCCACTAATCCCACTTATCCTAATATTTACAGAAATGCAGCATTATAAAAGTAAAGTTTATTCAAAAAGTTTTTTGATCACTTACAATTTAAATTATATTGCACTAGATACCGAGGGAAATCAGAAGAAATATAAGGCACGGATGACCCTTGTATTCTAGGAGCTTATCACCCAGTTAGGAAGGTAAAATATGTGCATAAGAGAGTGCATGATTGAGCGTCAAAGAGTTGGATAGATATTAAATGTTTAGGAGTCAGAGTGAAATGAAAGTAATCAAGACAGGAGCAGGAGTGGAAGGCCCTATGAAGTAGGTGAGTTCTAAAGAACAATGGAGAAACTCTTGAAATGGCGGCTCTGACAAGGGAAAAAACATGAACATGGGTGTGGAATCAGGATAGGCCTGACAGGTTTGATGGAAAGTTAAGAGGGCAGGACCTACAAAGGAAAACAAGATTAGAAAGATGGCACTCTCAGCTGTAATTTAAGGAGAAAGTGTCTCAAGAAGCTTGTGTTTATAACCCACAAATAGAATTCATACCTTGTAATCTATTAATATGCCATTTATATTACCTAAGAGGTAGATTCT